CTCTATACCCCTTACATGCTTTCATGATGTCATGCTTAGGCACAGAAGCAGCTTTACCTTTATCATAGTTCTTACATAGTATGTTGTGGCATTCGTAATTACTCGTACAACACGTACTGCAGCACCTCATCCGTTGAACCCCAGTAGTAAGCCAACACATGTCGGGATTGGAATTCATGGGTCCATCGTCCAGTATTCTTAGTAACACTAAAGAACATAATGTTTCGGAAAATGGATGTTTCCGTCCTCTGGTGAGAGCGGGAGACACTGTAATGCACTTAGAATTACGCCAAAATTCCATACTGTGAACTCCAATACAAAAGCGACATTAAAATACATACTTAAATGAAATAAATCGCAGGCGGAAACCATATGTGATTCCTGACCAAATCACTTTTAGTAATAAAACACATGTCTCTAGCTCCTATTTAGAACGCCACATGGAGTTCAACAGACATGAAGAAGAACATAAAACTTTATCTTTATTTACTCGTTAACATATGACATGCTGGCCCGGCTACAATGATTTTACTGTCTACAGATATTCACTGTTACAGCAAGTTCTGAATCGGAACTGACCAGAGGGCTTATCCGTGTTGGCTGAAGAAGAATATCTACAAAGGCAGAGGTACTAATTTCTCGGAACATACGATTGTAGCGACACATCTTTAAAAATGAACAGACTGACGAAAACACTAACGTAACAGCATGACATAGGGGTAATTTAATCTGAGTAACTTTTTTATAATCTAAATCGGACGGGGAGGCCGCACCATAGCTTAAGCGGTTAGTCGCTGGCCCGCCGCGGGCCGGGTTCGATCCCGAGTCTGGTCAAGTGGGATTTGTGGTGGACAAAGTGGCGCTGGGGCAGGTTTTGTCCGAGTACTTCGGTTTCCCCTGCCAATCTTCATTCCACCAAATTCTCCATCATTATAATCACCCGGGGCAGGTACAGTAGGCCAATCAGTGGCCGCCGTGCCGAGTGGACCCAGCTGGACTCCACCCCCCATTAAGCGAGTTAAAAAAATCGAAAGGGGAATAAAAAAATTGGTTCAGGTCCATCTGTATAAACTATGCTGAAATCGGATCGGAATTGAAGCGAGCCTGTTAATAAACTGTAGTGACACCACTTCGGTAAACATATTTTGCATTAAAATTGTCAATACCTTTAACTGAGGTCTGGGCTTGTAATGTCTTTTCACACTTCATTTCACAGTCCCCTCCTAAATGGAAGGTTAAATACCGCTTTGGCGCGAACACAGAAACATCATGAGGCTGACTAACACACTACTGACTCACGTAGTATCAAACAGTTTCCCAAACATAACTTTCAGATACTTTACTAGCTGCTGCAAAACACATCGTGATATAACCGAAATCTGGCGGTTTTTCCTGATTTGATGTAATCTCGCTATTCCGTTACATTCCACACTCGAATAGATATAAACATGTTATACTCAAAACAAACGGCTTCACACCTCTTCCTTTCCTGCGATTAATAATTATTCGTGGTAGAACTCACTTCACGTTTCAAAGCCATCACCTTTGCCATCCCACTATTTCACCAAGCAAAAAATTTCTTTCCAGGACACCATTTTTCCCTTTACACGCACTCAGAGTGCAAAAAACTGTTTGCACGAAACGAGCTGTAAGCATATTTTCCACACATGTTCTGTGCATTTGTACATACCTCAACAACTTTGGTGTTCATTTATTATAAGTAAATCTGTGATTGCAATGATAAGCACCTGAGGCATCACATGAATTGTAACTATGAATAATTACATAAAGCAATAACTTTCTTTTTTTTCCCTTACATATTACATAAAAAATGTGGAAGTAGTAAAGGTTATAATTTCTAATTTTGTGTTAAAATGTTTTGTACAGTGAATTGTTTTCTTAATTGATGTTTGATTTGAGAGTGAGGCACCATCTTTTTAAATGATGACCAAAATTAAATCCTCGTTATGACCATTAGTGTAGACCCTCTAACTTTTTCCACCACCAGATAGTGGTCAGTATCACAGTCTGCTCCCCTGATCAGACATCAGGCACACTTGAATGCCTCATGAGATATCTAAGTGGATTTATGAATGTTACGATGTGGGAACATTGCACGTTTTACAGTCCAATTTTTGGATGTGGCAAAGTTTACTACTCTAACTTCATTATCATTATTAATTTCTGTGTAAACCCTCATTCCCAGTTGTTGGTTTGAAAATGTCTTCCTTACCTATTTTGACATTTAAATCTCTTAACAAAATGTTCATATGGTATTGGGGAATTTATTGAATACACTTTCTAGTTCCCCATAGAAGCTGCTCTTAATATAATCAATTTTATCTTGTGTTGGGGTGTGAACAATTAGAACAGTTATTTACTTCATGCAAGTCGTTAATTTCATTTTTATCCAGCTATTTTGCGGCTGTTATCAGTTTGTTGCTGGGTTTCCCTATGTCACTGTCCCCATTGTGGTCTACCAGTATACAATTCAGTATTCAATGTACGTATTTGCAGGTACCATCAATATCTAGAGGCTGTCTCCTCCAATCACAGTCTGAGAACATGCCATGTTGTGATGACACGGAACACATCTAATTTGGCTGGTTTCAGTCCTAATATATAAAAAAAAAAGTTAATTACAATGGCAATGAAGATACCTGTCACTAATCTCAAATATGCAACTTCAATTTCTGTTAACCCTCTTGTGTGCCATTTTTGTTAATTTTTAAATCTACAAATTTATATTTTGTTTTAGTTTCATCACTCTGAGGTCTAAAGGTTGCTTGGAGTGTATAGTTTCGAAACATAGAACTAGGTTATGTAGTGTCAAATAATGAATTATAAAACTATGAGTCATGATCTGGGAATATGTGGAGGTGGGAGTGGTCTGTTTCAGAGTACTTATTTTATAGGAACCGATGAAAACCATTACAGAAAAAGGCCTATTTAGGATAAGTGGCCTATCTATCAAAAATAAGTTTTTACTCATATTTTACACTAATCAAGGGAAAGTGATTATGGTTGAATGTTCAATTCAGACAATTTTATTATGCAACATTTTATTCAATCAGAAATAAAAACATTAAAATAAACACAACACTATACAAAAATACTAACTTTATAAGAATAATGTAATTTATACAAATAGGTGCATATTTAAGCAAATTGGTCCCTCTGAAATAGAAATATAACAGTCTTCAAAACTGAGATGTCTTGGTGTGATGCAATGTAAGTACCAAAACAAAAACAACTAATGATTTCAAAATATTTAGTAATTTTAATGGACACCAAACAAACTCTCATAAATGCATTCCATTTCAAGAACTCTGCAAAATCATTTTATATATAATCACAACCAAAAGGGGTATACAAATTGTCATATTTGTACTGTTTCACTTACACTTTATTGGCATGATTGTTATATGTGGTCGAACTGACCAACCATACTGTTTCGTCAATACAAACTAAAATCTCACAGTGAGCCCCGAAGTATTGAGGGATATTCCTGGATGATAAAGGTTAACTAAGAAATCAACTTTCTTCATCTCTGAATCTGTCAAATATAAGTTCATTTTTAAGCAAGAAATACATATGAGAATTAATTTCTCCTTTACACCATCTTGAGATACATTATCATTTTGCAGAATAAATCCACAGTGTTAACAAAGAGATAACCTGAACATTAATGTCTTCTGGGATGTGACACGGTGTAACCTAATAGAGCAATACCAATGTTTTTGAGGAATTCAGTCTTTCCATTTTAAGAGATCTACCCTGAAGCTGGAAGGTGTATATCTCCCAAAACACTATTAATATTCTACCAGACTACACGGTGTCACATTCCAGAAGACAGTCATATTCCTACTCAACGTCATGAAACCTCAAACCCAAACACATAACTTACCAGAATAACACCACTTTTTAAATAAGCAGCTGGAGTGTACAGCTGACCACTCCCATCTAGTGCTGAGGTTATGAATGCATGGAGCTATACTCCACTTCTTCATATGCCTTCATGGCATGATGGTTAATTACGCAGAGTGACAACTTTACTCTTTAACTTAGAAGTCTTCTGAAAAAAAATTGTTTTTGGTGTTTACACATTTCCATTCTGTCCTATATTGTCACTGGATTCAGAGAAACTTTCAATGTAGCCTATCAAAGCATACAAATGTACACTGCTTTTCATTTGTTTTCTTTTATTTCTGTTTCAAACATATGAAGTTCAAAATTCAGTTTCTGTGGATAAATGACTGTCTCTGAAGGTAAAAACCCAGTACAGGGGCATGGCATGTACTGCTATACACAGTCCAGCACCACTCATGGGCAATACTGCAATCAAAATAGCAACTTCAAGTAACACCACCCAGATATTTGTAAGATATTCCCATCTAGGCTGCGCCATAGCTCAAGCGTTTAGTCGCTGGCTTCCCACCACGGCGGCCCGGGTTCAATCCCGGGTCTGGTCAAGTGCGATTTGTGGTGGACAAAGTGGTGTTGGGGCAGGTTTTCTCAGAGTACTTCGGTTTCCCCTGCCAATCTTCATTCCACCAATTGCTCCACAATCACCCTCNCTCTGTGGGAAGAAAACTGTTGCAGACTGATGGTGTTTGAGAACAGGATGCTGACGGGTGTAAGAGAGAACAAGAAACACATCAGGGAGCTTCACAATTTGTACTCTTCACCAAATACTGTTAGGATGATTAACCAAGGAGAATAAAATGGTCACAACATGTATGGAAGTACAAGAAATGTATGCAGAAATTTGGTAAGAAAATCTGAAGAGAAGAGACTGACTGGAGAGACCTAAGTGATGACTGGATGATAATATTTGAATGGATCATCAAAATCTGATATAAGAGTGTGGATTAAATTCAGCCAACTTAATAAAGCTAAATCAGTTGCTCACAATGGCAAGGCACTTTCATCTGAAGACATATCACAGCAAGAGTTTACGCGAAACTCAGCATTTCTGGGTAGAATCATTTTCACTATTCTTCTTCACCAGGAACAGGTTTGTGTCTAACGTATGCGACAAGAATGAAATTGATTGGAGGAATGAACAGTACACTCTTAGAGCTGGACTGTTTGACTGTACTGGGAGGGAAGCATTCTCATTAAATTAATCTGAACATGATGCATAAATATACAACTGAAAGATTTTATGAGTGACACCATTGTAGCTTGAAACAAGATAAAAAATATTGGGAATATTATTGGTTCTGAGGTTTTCATGGGAGTGATTATTAAGACTGTGGTCTTCTTGGTTGTGACACTGCATAGATTTGTGGGAGGGCACTGACATTTCAGAGGATATGTTGCTTTCACCTTCAGGGTTGAAGTGTGTAGGTTTAGGAACAGGCTTGCTTATACAGGCAAGTTACAAGCATAACAGATGACAAGAGAAACCTGATCCAAGCAAATGAGAGAAAATGGACACAAAATGGCCTTGTAGAGGGCACACTGCTTTATTGCCACAGGCGTGAAACAGAACAGTTAGTAACGATGGCCCTTTTTAGGGAACCAAATCCTGTTTTTGAGAGAAATTTCGCACTTTTCAGAGCCACTTTTAAGTTTTTCTCATAGGAGGGAAATCTGCACTGAGAACTGGGGAGATTTCTCTTTATTGGTCATGACACCGTGTAGTCTGGTAGCTGCTGCCTCTATGCTAGGGGCAGAAGAAGTAACACACGTTTGCTTCACTTCTGTTCTGCAGATGTTTGCTCTAGAACACTGGTATCTGTCACACTATACCATGTCACGTTCACATCTGTGAGAACCTCAAATGGCATATAAGATTCCAAATACCTATTCAGACTACCAACATTTTATGGGGGGGAAGTTTTATCAGTAATTTTAACAAGTTTATGCCTAATATTTTCTTGACCCTATCCCAAGGCACCCATACCTGCAAAATCTGCACCTCCATCTGCAGATGTACCAACATGTTCTTTGCAACTCCAATTATAGTAATTTCATAACTTTTCCTTGATATCAGAGATGCATTTCTGTGCTATCTTGAATCAAGCATTACTCTTGGGAATGTCAATACACATTCATCTAATGGCAGGCCTCAGTAAGTTTTCCTCAGAAAATATAACTTAAATATGCATTTTATAAAAAAGTGAGTTACAGTTCTGATGTAGTTTCAGTTGTCACTTATAAGGTAGACTGCTTACAGATTCAGACCTTGTAAGATTTTCTGCAATTCAGTGCCCAATAATGAACCACATGACCCCTAAAAATCCTCGTAAAATGTACAGAAACTTATACATTCAGTAGGTCAGTGTTTTCTTTACAGCATCAAAACACCGCCATTTGTCTGGAAGGTAGAATGGTTCAAAAACATGTGGAAATGGGGTATCGAATCCAGTCACTCGTTGTACAGGTGCTTCCAAATGCAAGAAGCATTCCTCCTACAAACAAAACAGACGTTAAAACACGCACAACTATAAATATGATTTTAATGTGCACGTACATGTATCAACAACTGTGGAAGTTCTTTAATCTTTCACATTATTGTTTCTAAAGCTGACCAGGTGGCCAAATGAACAGTTATTCTGATGCTTTTGGACTGTCACAGTCTTCATATGTTCAAACTTGTTCCAGAGACTTTAACTGCAATTTTTAAGTCCTGCCCTCCACATGCACATGTGCACAAACACACACACCCACAAGCACAGACTTTGATGGGGTTTGAACTGCAGTGGTTTCTGTAGTGAGGTTATCTGTTCGTTTTCTAAAAAGTGCTTATTTCTCTGTACAGGTCTCTAATGTTCTTGTTCTTATTGTTCGTTGCAAGCTCATTAATTTTATCTTTCAGATATTCCCTCTTTTCTATTCCTGAAATGCCTAGTGGTTTCATGTCTTATATTGTTCAGATTATCCCCATTATATTTTGCTTGGATCCTGTAATCACTGCAATTTGGTTGGTTTCCCTTGATCTGAGAGTTCTGAGCATCCTTCATCAAACCAAGACTTATGCTTCTTCAATTCATAATAACCTAGACTCTCTTTGGCTGAAATTTTGATATTATCTCTAATAGTTTCCCAAGCTCTATTAATATTACCTCAATGTCTAAATTTTCTAAAGCTTCACACTTATTTGAGATTTCAACATGATATTGCCCTTCACCCTCTACACTGTTTAATTTCTTAAGACTGATCCTCTTCATATGAAATCTGTGCACTGTTTGTTTACTCAGTTCCAATCTCTCTAACTTCTGCCATCACCAGATAGTGAGTGGTCAGTATCACAGTCTACTCACATGAACGATCTGACATCAAGTACACTTCAAATCTGTCTCCTATCTATGAAAATATGGTCAACTTCATTGCGAGTCTTTCCATGGAGATGTCCAAGTAAATTTATGAACGTTACAATGTGGGAACATTGTCCTTTTGACAGTCTGGTTTTTGGATGTGGCAAAGTTTACTACTTTAACTCCATTATCATTACTAATTTTGTGTAAAATCTCATTCATAATTGTTGGCTTGAAAATTGTCTTCTCTACCTACTTTGGCATTAAAATCTCCTAATAAAATTTTCATATGGTATTTAGGGAATGTATTGAACACACATTCTAGTTCCTACTAGTGAAAACAATGAAAGCATTTCAGAAACTAATCAAATTTATCTGAGCCCCTGGACCATGACTGTTTTGAGTCAGCAATACATTCAAGACTGGAACTCACCTGAATTACAGCTGTTATTTCTGATGCGAAGCCACCTGTCAGTGGAGCTTCATGTGCTACGATGACACGTCCAGTTTTCTTCACTGACTATAAAGGATGGAAGAAAATTAAATAAATTTTAATACAATTGTATATAATATTGCTCATATATTCTTACACCATTGTAAAGGATAGTTAAGTCAAGGTCAAGTTGTCCCTGTGCTTAATTAAGCACCTCACACCTGGCAGACTTATGGGGGGAGCAGCCTTCACTTTAGTGTGAAATGGAGCTGAGGTTCCAAGGCTGAAAGTTATGTGATATGTAAAACTTTTAGTAGGTTTTCCAGGAAGATGTGTTGCCTGTGAGATGGTGGAACCAGCAACATTTGATGCTGAAAGGATCGCCGACTTCCCTTCATGAACAGAAGGCTGTATATTCCAACTTACATTGCAGACTGTCTCCACATCCCATGGGTTAATTGTGACCAGATCAATAACCTCACACTGAACCTTCAACTGTTCCTTAGCCATGTCTGCAACCTCCTTCAATATGTGCACCTCAGTTCCCCAGCCAATGAGAGTCACGGCATCACCTGTAGAAACCAAACACATATCAAGTTGAAGTACAAAGCCACTGGGACTGACAATTTCTTTATCAGTGCTGACCACTGCCTGCCTCGACAGTCACGTAGCCAGATGACCTGTGTGTATTATGTGCGAGTTCTGTGCCCTCCCAAACACAGGTCAGAAATGTTAGCGCTTGAGCCAACTTACTTGGTTACATTGTGGGAGACGTTGCAACCATGCTGTTCTGACACTTCTGTGGTTTCACCTGTATGGGTGCAGAACTTGGTCTCTCAACCTAAGGACACATTGGGGGCATTCGAGAATGGTGCTAGAGAGAATATCTGGTCCCAAAAGAAAGTAACAGGAAGACTGACAAAAACACACATTCAGGAGATTCATAATTCATACTCTCCACAAAATATTAGGATGGCCAAACCAAGGAGGATGAGTTGAGTGAACCATGTAACATGTATGAGAGAAATAAGAAATACAAACAATTTCTGGCTTAAGATGGGATCCAGTCACAGGCATCTTTCAGTCAATCCACTGTGATTTACTGAATGTGAAGTTATCCTGCATAATGCCTACCATTAAAATGGTAACTGAATCTTTGGGTTCCATAAATAAAAGAAATTTCTTGACTAGCCTAGCAACTATTAGCTTCTCATTTTTTTAAATTGCATGTGTCCTCCTGGTATTGCACCTCTCACAGGTGCAAATGTTCTCTTGAGCCCTTCACTCTCTTGCTTCTGAGTGAGACCAAGTTTTGTCCCACACTGCAACAAGTCCTTCCTTTCCTTTCCATTTCTGTGCCTTATCAGCTTTAGAGGTTATGCTTGCTGTGGAGTGAACTGGTTCCATCATTTCACATACACTGCAGTTGTCATCTTCAGAGCAAATGAGGTGAAAGGGGGATGCAGTCCAACAAATCAGACACACAATGCAGCTAAACCCTGAAAGCCAAAATGATATGTGTCCCTGCTTGCCTTCAACCAAGACATCTGCTTTCCCCAGCGGCAGTGTATACTCCTTGACTGGGACATCTTCCACAGCAGCTCGATAGAGCACTTTGGGCTCAAAGAAGATGCAGGGATCCTTGTCCTGGATGCAGGCCAGCAGCAGACCCTTTGCCTTAATCGGGCCCCTTGGAATTACGATCTGCTCAAACAAAAATGCGAAAGTCATAAAAAATAGCAAATTATGAGTCTGCTTGCTTCCCAGTGCAAAGAATTTACAGCTGATAGTAGTGTTTCAGATTCTTGGATTACTTAAAGACCTTGTGCAAACTTGAAGGTTTACAGGATGTGGATGGACAGGCAGCATGCATGGAAACTCAACCGGAGACTAGAAGACCACCGACCAAATGGAGGAGTGTGCAACATAATATCAATAGTAAAATAGAGAAGTTCTGTCCCTGGGCTAATGTGGTTGGGAAGTTTGTGTGCCTTGATTACAGGGACAGTGATGCTAGTGGAGGCATAAGCTATTGATAGGGTAACACACACTAGACAGGGTGTATGGTAGGGACAAAACAAATGGTAGCTCCTGGTCTTTCAGCTTTGGGGTTGGGCATAAGGTTATAATCTCATCTTGGGAAACAATGTCTGTTATGAAACCTAAAATTGGAAGTGGATAGATAATTTAGAAAATGAGTAAGGAAAGGTTATAAGGAAAATGAGTTATATTTTGCTGCTTCGGATGTGCTCAGTTCACTTGGGACAGAAGCTTTAAGTAAACTGAAACTGACTGACATATAAGTGGGAAGGCCCATATTAAGATAGCTGAAAAACATAATGGATGATTTAGGAGAGATGAAAATGAAGAGATGGAGGCAGAGGGAAAATAATAGACAAGAATGGGTGTCTGTCATATGGGAGGCTAAGGTTCACAGACAATTGCAGAGTGTAGGAGCAGAGTGAGTACTGGTAACTAAAATATGTATATGATTAATTTCCATTTGGACTTGCATATGGCTTCTGCTACACTGTAGTTACATGGATCACGTCAGAGGGCATGAGACAGGTTGGTGGTGTGTGAACCATCCAAGAGAAATAACATGGCTGGATGGGAGAAGACAAAGTTGTTTGTGTCATAGCAGAGACTTCTGAAATCTGCTGCAATGAAAGGACTTGCCTTCAAACCTGCTGCATGTGCAAAAAAGCTTTCAGGGCTCTGGGAATGGTATAGAGAGCCATGGCCCACAGCACCCCAAGCTGCCCGAACAGTCAACTTGCCGCAGTCAAACTGGTTCCCACTTCGGTATCTGTATTTAGCAGCTTCATTCACAAGCTGAAATGAAAATAATACTGAAGTCTTCACTTTGCTCAAGCTCATTGCTTAGAAATTATCAAAATGTGCAGACATTAACTCCCCTCCCACTGACCACTTCAATATATTAACAGAAATAGTTCATGTATATTCATGGGTAACTGAAGTAATTTTCGTCATGTTGGCCACCATTCTCACATTGTCAATTGACTGTAGAAGCTTATCTGTAATAGAAAACTTGTAAGATTCACCTCAGAAGGTTTTCAGATAGCCATATATATAAGAAAAACAACTTAACTTTGTGGACTTGTTGTTAATGACAAATCCTACGTTAGGTGCTGGGTATTTCTTATTTTGGCAATTGAACTTCTAAGATTTGTAGCACTAACATGGCAGACAACATGGAAGTGCATTTTTGGGTTATCCTAATTACATAAATTTCTGTGAAAATCTTATTGGCCGGCTTCTGTTTAAATACACTGTTGCGTAAAAAACTGTAAAAAAATAACAATTATACAAATTACTGATATAGTTCTGTGTCTGATTTTCACCAGTATAAATTCCCAATATCTGAGGATGTCAGACATATGTTAAAACATTCACATCATTGAAATATTTGTAATGTTTAGCACAGTTAATATAAAGCACTGAAACCATGTGGAAGACCTAAGCATAGATGGCATGATAATATTAAAACGTATCTTAAATAAACAGGGTGTGAGGATGGATGAATGGTAGTTTCCTCTGAATATGGTAGTAAATCTTTGGCCAGACACATAAATAGTTGCTTCTCAGGAAGGCCTCTGCTCCACAGGGTCAACTCATCATGTAATTTAGTTCACTGTGTTTCATCACATTACACACCCTGGTTATATTATTCTGTTTTACTACTATTAGTACCGTTTCCATCACTTCCACTAACATAACTATTACTGCTCTTCTTTCATCTCTCTCCAATCATCCCTCTTCTACCTTTATATTTCTATCCCCCTGTAACATAAATTGTACCTTACTAATTTTATTCTCCATTTTGAACTAATTTTTAAACATATATTTTCCAATATTTTTAACTCCATTACATTTGTACAGTTTATTTTTTTTTTGTATGCTAAATACTCATTTATATTGAACCATTTACTGCACACCAATTCTTCTCTCTGCTTCTTTACTTCCCAACACTTTTGTAGCATGTGCTTAGCATGCTCCTCCCTTCACAACACAGGGGATATCTTCCTTCCTCACATCCTCTCCTGATCCCCTTTAATTTCCAGATCTCTGCTTTCAGCCCCCCTATTCCAATTTTCCCATTTCTTGTATCTCCATTACCTCACTCTAGCTTCATTTCACTATATAATATCAATGAATGAAGAAAATCTTTTCTCTTACATTCAAATATGGATTCTGTATTTCTCCATAATTACACTTCCCATCAATTAATTCATGGCGCAAGGTCTTTCTTCAAAAGTTTATATTTACTTAGCTACTCAAGAAATTCATCATTTGTATAACCCAGAGATATGCTACCATGTCTGTAACTGATCTCAAGGCTCCATTTGTAACTAAACTAGTCTAACCTAACCTATACTAAACTAAGGTTAACCAAAACTGAATAGACTAAAATAAATTAAAGCAAATCCAAAGAAATTCTAATGCAATAGCACATTTTGTCCCATGGCAGGAGAACAGATAATAGCAAGCTGGGAAAAAGCATCACACACTAAGTATATGGCATAATGATGCTTCCGGAATTTTATTTGTTTCATTCTAGTCCGTCACACTAACAATATTATGAAAAGTTAAACAGTTCCATCTAGCGTGACTGGTGAAGATTTTTCTTATTTCAATTATTTATGCCCTTACATGTTTTGGTCTTCTTTACATCAATACAGTTGGAAGTTACTATTACAATATATGTTCTGAACATTAAAATATATACATGTAATATTAACAATACAGTACACCACAAACACATACAGGACAACATCAAAGAACCCTCTTCTCGAGAACAACAAGGCGGCACATGTTTGGCCCCGATCAAGAGAAATAATAAGAAAGACGACACGAACCTATTTGGTTTATAAATTACAATAAAACCTTAACAAACCAATTACAAATATTTTAATGTATTAGAAGAGCTGTTTTGTGTTGTAAAAACTTCAGATTTTATACCAAATTGTATATTATTAATATTACTTGTACAGGGTGGGGTGCAGAAACTTCCTTTTTTGAAGGCAAATAAAAGAAAAATTATTGCTGATAGACAAAATTTATGTTTAGCTAATGAAAGAACATATTTTGAAGTTTTAAATCATGTAGTTTTAAACAAGATATCTTGAAGGTGGTGGGCACCGTTCTCTGTGCACTGATGCAACCGTTTTCTTAAGTTCCCCTCTGCACGTTCCAACATGTGCACCGGAATTTGGGCTACTTCCTGCCGAATAACATTCTTCAGTTGAAGCAGGTTTGTGGGGCGATGTTTAAAAACCTCTGCCTTGAGGTATACCCATAAAAAAATCACAGGGTGTTAGATCAGGTGAGTGCGCTGCCCACAGGATGTCAACTTGAAGCAAGATGAGCTGTCCGGGGAACTTTGCCCTCAAAACTGACATCGAAGCTCGGGCCGTGTGGGCCATGGCACCATCCTGTTGGAATCAGACATCTCCTTGATGCATTTCTTCAAGGGCTGGTTCGAAAAAGATCTCAAAATCGACTGTCGAACTGCCTCCACATTTTCTGGCATTGTAAAGGTCTGTTGTCGTCCTGATGATTTTTTCACCACACTCCCGGTTGTCCTAAAGTTTTCTACCCACAAAACAATCGATTTCCAGTCGGGAACCGGACCTCTGGGCTTAATTCCGAAGTGAGTACGGAATGCACGCTGCACCACCATGTAGGAATGGTTGTTCGAAAAATAGGCTTTGACAGCAAACGCACGCTCCTCACTCGTCCACCTCATGTTTCCTACTCAGGCGTATTAGATAGAAACATCTACGACTGCTGTGTTTGCCAAGCCTATCCCCACTTTTCTGCAACCTCCCCTCCCTTCACAAAAAGGAAGTTTCTGCGCCACATCCTGTATATATTTTAATGTTCAGAACATATATTGTAATAGAAGCTTCCAGAAGTTAACCACAAAGCAGGTTTGTACAGCAGTAATGCCTTGTATTTAAGAGGTGCTCAATTCAGATCTCAGCTCATTATTTATATTTACATTTATTTTTCACTTCATGGATCAAATCAACTCCCCGTAGGGCTGGATATGAAACATGTCACATATTACAAATTCATGATGATTACACATCATTCGTCCTTTGTCCAATAAAATATATAATCAGGCTGCACACAGATAGCTCTAGTTGTCAGGACAACACACATGGGTCGTGGAAAAACCACTGTCATATTCACACCTTGCCATTCCACACACGCTGGAAAGCTGTATCATCCAGTTACATTGTAAAACATTAAAATTCATAACAAAAACAGACATCATACATACTACTACACTTACAACAAGCAAGTCTCAACAATGTATAATTCACGCACACAGACCATTTATTAGCTCTTGAGCCCCTTGCATGCTTGACAAATTCATCAATAGAGTAAAATATGTTACTTTGCAAATAATTTTGTAAGACAAACCTAAACTGCTTTTAATCATTTTTTAAAACTGTGATATTTGACGGCAGAGTGTTAAACAGCTTGACACCTGAATAATACACCCCTCTCTGAAAGGATGATAAATGTGTTGAAGGTATATGAAGGTGGTCATTCCTTCTGGTACCAATCACATATACAGAGTTATTGGTTTGAAACATATCCAAATTATTAACAACAAATGTCATCAATGAGAGCAAATATACACATGGGATTGGCAGTATGTCAAACTTTTTAAATAGATCTCTACACGTATGAGTTGGGCCCACTCCCATCGTTATTATTATTATTTTCTTTTGTATAACAAAGACCTTATGACTGTCTGATGTATTTCCCCAATATATTATTCCATATTTCACCAATGAATGATAATATGCATAATATACAGCCTTAAGACTATTTATATTTAATATATAGAATAATTTTCATATTAGAAAACAAACTGTGTGAAGCAAAAAATCGATTCGTCCCTTACAAGTCAGATGATTGTCCAGCTGCAAACCGAGAAATTTTATCGTTTTTACTTCTTTCAGCTTTTTGTTAAAAAACAATGTATATAGAGGGTAGCTCATAGCTGCTGTAGGGGTGAATTTTATCATTTTTGTAACATTAATTGATTACTTTGAAACCACATAAACATATGATTGAAAACAACATCAAATTTTGTTTTTAAATTATAGTAGTCTTTAGCTGTGCAAAGAATACTTGTGTCATCTGCAAACATAATAACTTCCGAAATTTTACTTATTTNTATTTCAAGGGGAAAATCGTTTATGTATATATGAAAGAGTAAGGGTCCCAACACCGATCCCTGAGGCACACAACATCCAACAATTTCCCAATTACAATAATATTTATTATTTATATAATTTAATTCCACTCTATTCCGACTGAGGGTTTTCTCAGTTCCTTCATGCAAATGCCACATTAGTACCTTCATTAGATCAGCAGCCATCCTTTCATCTGATACTACACAGTGCAGACACTGAAAATGTCATACAGCAACCAACAAAAAATAAAAACCTGAAGCACATTCAAATTTTTCCAAAAATAGAAGAAAAAAAAACAAGCATTCTGAATGTGATAAACAGGGATGGATACAAGAGTCTGAGGTCTGCTCTGAATGGCAGGGTCACTTAAAAGAATGGTAACATTTGCAAAAACACACAGAGTTCAAGAAATGCAGCCTGAAGTCTTATTTTTTGGCACTCAGAATTCACTTCACAGGTTCCTCTTTATAATGTTTATCCCACAGTTGACTAACAGTGTCACCAAAATGTAGGTCTAAATTGATGCACTATGCACATGCACTAAGACATGTCGAGGTTCACACTTAGATTATGCTAGTATTCTGTCTTGTCATCAAAATGTCAGTCTTATGCTCCTCTGTGTCATTATTCAACCAAAAAATGCATTTTCTTCACCAACATAAGCAACAGAAGATATAAAAATAAGACAACATTGTACTAGCAGGGACTTGATGCACATTTGAGATATGTTCAAGATGTTAATTAAAGCACAATGTAAAATGATGGCTAAAAATCTTACAGTACCATTTCTAAACTGAACAAACTACCTGATCAAATGCTGGGAAGATATAATCAGCAAATTGGACTTCTGCAACTGCTGTTGTCCCTGCAACAGCACAGCCAATCCCAAATCCTACGATTCCTTGCTCACATAATGGTGAATTGAACACTCTGTCCTTACCAAATCTTTTTTGAAGGTCTAGAGTGCAACGAAAAACCCCACCAAATGCCACATCTTCTCCAAAGACAACTGTAACATAATGACAACACATAATGTTTAAAGTTGAATCACCTCAAAAAAAATGGTACATCAGTTACATGCGGGCAATCAAATTTATTTAAGAGCATCAGAAATGTAAAGGCCACATAAAATACCATAGGGGAGATATGGGCAAGGTACACTCCAGTTTCTTTATCGAGACTTAGTTTATGCAACAAACATATCCAGATCCTATGATTACATAGTGTCATATGATGAGATGTTGGATTTCAGGTTCTTACTGCAGTGACTATGAAAAGTATGGTATTCTGGATTATAATGTGTGCAGTATGGAAAAAGCTCAGTGTTTTAGAGGAATATCATCTACATCCTAACGGTCAAAGTGTAAACCAAGCAAGAAACCTGCAGAAGCATGTTGCAAACTAAGCTGATTATGCTGGTTTCTTGCTTGGCTTGTTCTTTGACTTGCAAAATGGGAGGCAATGTTCCTCTGAAACATTGGGCTTTCTACAGACTATGTGGCATTACAGCCCTGAAGACCATACTCTTCAGTCACAATATGAGAACATCAAACCTAACATAAAATTTGTAGGTTGTTTCAAAGTACTGTGTTACTTTATTCATGTCAGTAAATGCTCCTGTTTCTAGCTCCCCTTACATTCATCCCATCAGTAACTTAAGTATCTGTAATACTGGATTATATTTCAGTTACTTTATTTACTATGATATCTAACACTGAGGGCACAATATGTGGAATTAATTTCTTAGGGCAAGAGGGACTGTATGACTCATTTTAATTCAAAACTAAGGAATGTAAAGTTAGGGATTCCACAAGGGTCAACCTTGGGCCCGTTTTTGTTTTTGATTTACATAAATGACCTACCCCTCCATATAACTAACGGGGAAGTAGTGCTATTCGCAGCTGACACCAGTATACTGGTGATAGAAAAGAACAAAAATATTCTTCAAGACAAAATAGATAAGGTAATGAAGAAACTCGAATCTTGGTTTTCAGTGAATAATATGGTAATAAATGATGAGAAGACTACAGCAATGTATTTCCATATGAATAAACTACAAGATAGTATTGAGCCAGTAATTACCTTTAAAAATATAATACAGTAATTAATTATACAGCACAGTTTAGGTTTCTTGGTATTAATTTAACCCACAAACTCAAATGGAACATTCATATTCAGTCGGTCTGTACAAAGCTCAGTAAGGTGTGTTACATTATCAAAGCTTTGAAAGGCGAAGTACGCTCATATGTCCTTAGGAATGTGTACTTTGCTAACTTCCAATCTCAAATAAGGTATGGTTTGATATTTTTTTAGGGGGGGGGGAGAAAGTGAAAGTAAAAAAATTCTAATTTTGCAAAAAGTGTTCTTCGAATAATGAAAGGGGTAACAAAAAGAACATCATGTAGACCTATATTTAGAGAATTAAAAATTTTAACGGTAACATCTTTGTATATTTTAGAGGTGTTATGTTATTTAAAAAAATATAACATTTACACCACAAAAAACTCTGACCTACATAAGTATGACACAAGAAAGAAAGAAGACCTTCACGTGCAAAGTTATAATACCTTAACATATGAGAAGAGTGTTACAAATATGGCTATTAAGCTTCATAATAGACTGCCTTTGGAACTAAGAATGGTAAAAGCAGATAGAGAATTCCTACATAGACTCAAAAGATATTTACTGGCACACCCATAGTATAATTTGCATGAGTTCCTCTCAGAAGGACAGTTAAACGAATACGATTCTCCTTGATTAATAGATTTTAAGTGTAAATAAAATGACTAGTAATTAGGTGAAGTTTTTAATATGATTCAGCCTAAAAAGGGAATGGAAGTCTTAAAAGAGACTGCACTCTAAAATATTTAATCTTTATCGAAATTAATTTTATCTTTTGTGGATTATTTTGATATAATACGTGTTAAGTTTAAGAATATGACGGTGGTAATTAAGATGAATATAGTAAGATGACCTAGTTTTTTATAATGGAAGGTAGTAGTAAATTTGACTGTACCTAATATATTTTAATTATACCGAGAGTGTGATTTTAATTGTAACTGAATGTTATGTTATAGTGATATTTGATGATGTTAAATCGATTGGGAAGGAGTCCAATTAGACTGGAAAAGTTGTATATGTACGTGACTTGTTTGAGAGTTACAATTTGTAACTGTGATGAATGTTAAATAAAATTATACATTATACTTCACTCAGTTTGCAAACAGTACCTTGGATTAGTTTAGTTTATATGTTTCAGATGAACTCATAATGTTTATACACATCACACAGTCATATGACTTGAATGGGGATCTGTAACAATTAAGCGGAGTTTACACAGGTCAAGTAAGCGGTCATGTAGAGCGGTAAAGTTAATTAGAATATTTTTCTTGCATCGTGTAAACAGTTCCGGCCAAGTCAAGTACCGACTTGCGTCAAGTAGCGAGGCAAGTCAAGTAGTTCTGCATGGTGGACAAGTAACTTGACTTGACTGCTACCCCCACCATGAATTTTACCACTTGATCGCCTACTTGACCACTGACTTTACCAGTGTAAACAAGAGATGATGCAAGTGAGCGGGCCGGCAGGGCTAATATTACCAGCTTTCTCATATCAGGCATTTGATTCATATACACTTTGTGTATTTCCTCCCTGGTTTTGTGTAGTTTGTGAATGATGAAGTGGTCAGAAGAAGAAACTGTTTGGTTTGTTGAGCTCTACCGTGAAAAAGAGTGCTTGTGGAAGAAGAGCAGTGCCAAGTCCNCAAATAAACTTTATTCGTACTCTTGTGGGTAATAAATTCTTATTATTGAATAGTGAGGAGGCAGTATTAAAAAACAAAAATTACGAACTAATTTCCATGATTTGGTATGTTTTAGGCAACCATTGTCTAATGAATAAAATTGTTTTGCCAAGGCACTGCTCCCTCGTTAGAAATGAAGTACTCCTTCAGTCTGTGTCTCAATTGTTTTGCCACCTCTGATGTTCTTCTTTCAGATTCTACTTGTAGGTTTCTCAGTTCCCGTATTTCCTGTCTCCATTGTCCTGGTATTATTTCCCCAGTGTGTTGGTTTTCAGAATCAACCAATTGTACATTAAAGTAATGAGCTGGTGATGTTTTCTGCAGCCAATTGTGAATAGCAATGGCTGCACTAACCAATTTGTTCACAGAGGAAACTTTAATCTTCACTTTTCCATCAAAAACACGGAATCTGCTTACTAAAATTCCAAAACCGTTTTCCACTATTCTTCTGGCGCGACTCAACCGATAATTGAAAATCTTTTCTTCAACAGTGAGTGGCAATCTGTATCTGTTATATGGTTTAAGTAAGTACGGCTTGAGCGGAAAAGCATCGTCACCAGCCAAAAAATAACCATCGGGTAGTAATCCACCTTCTAGAGCCTCAGAGATGTCGCACTGCTGAAAAACACTGCCATCAGAGTTTGATCCCTTTGTTCCTACTTTGAAATACGTGAAGCAGTAGTTGTGGTCTACAACTGCCATCAGAACCACGCTCAAGGAGGACGAGAATGAGACCATCAGAAATACTATTACAGAAGCATGGAATTTAACAAATGAATAATGTGAGAGCACCTGTATTAATTACTACTGGTTTTGTACATTCATATTTTTCAAGCACTCATACTTTTTCTGAAATATACCATTCTAAAAAAAATTATTATCTTTGAATTGCAGATACTACCTTTACGAAGTCCTGTAGGCAGATGTACACTGCTTGACACACAATGGGGATCATGATAGATACAGCTGATTTAGAAACTCGGAAGAGATGAGAAAGGGTTCTGTAATTATTTCCTGTTGCTAGGAAATTCAGAGTCACTTCCAGCATTGTTTCTGGTTTAATGGCATCCCTCATGACGGTGTCCTCCCGCTGAATAATTGGAGTTACTAAACCCAACAAACAGTCAAATTTCTCAGGAGTCATTCTAAGCATCATCCTGTATTCTTGAGGATCTTCAGACCTCAACTCTCTTAGCAAGTCGTTAGACGCTCCTTGATTTCCTCTTCGCATAAGCCACTCCCGACACCATATCCTCTTCACAGGATTTCTCTGTTCCTCCAAAACTTGTTCCAATTCTTCCACGAGAAGATTCGTTAAATTTATCAAACAATTTCGCAGCACAACATGATTTGCAGCCATGTTTCAAAACCACTTGAACATCTACTGAACTACATGAAAACACGTTTGTCAAGCTGTAGTTAAGTCAAGTCAAGGAGAACAAAACCACGCAAGTGCGGAGGCAAGATACCTGACCCACGACTTGACCCGTGTAAACTCCGCTTTACTGTGATGTTAGTATCAAAACTGTTTTACTGACCAAAGTTTTAGATTCCCCAAATATTCCTTACTTACCTGCTGTGGGATCATTTACTAAAGTTGTATGTAATGCACTGTTAATAGCCTGGCACAGATTCATCCGACTGGTTTCACCTGAAAACATAATTATGTCAGACACTGAAGACTACTGCCTTCATCGTCAACTTATTGTTGTGTAGGCTATCTCAAAATCATACCCTATTAGTGAACTATCCACAACAGGATGCATACCACAAATATTCTGGGATGTGATGCTGTGTAGTGTGACAGATAAGTAGCAGTGTTTTGGAGGAACGCACTGCCTCCTCATATACCTTAAAGATGGGAGCAGCAGCTTCCTCGAGACGTTGGTACCTATCTGCCGAACTACACTGAGTCAGATTCCAAAAGACGCTAATCGTTGCAGAACCTCAAATATCGCATGTCAGAAACGGATTTTGATGAAGGCAATATGTGAATTCCAAAACCACCACACGGCATATTAATCCATCCATGAATCGCACCAAGAAGTATATCCACCAGTCACAGAGAAAAAAATACAGCCAAGAATCTCTCGAAAGTTACGAGGCTTCCAGTACGTAAAGGAAATGTAGGCTGAACAAGAGCCTGGGTAACCGCAAAAAAAAAAAACAAAAACAAACAACTCTCATTTACCTTTTCCTTCACATGGTTTTTCTGGGGAAAAATTAAATTCAACATATCGTTTAGTTATAAATTTATGGAAAAGAGCGGGTGACTTTTGACCAGTACCACTGCTTAACCCTGTAACACGATATCTCATACATAACCTCAAAACCGGCGACACCATTTTTCAATATGCTTATAAGCGCTGTTTTCTACATGGTATGACGGTGTATAACTAGAGCCATCTACACTCAGGGAACCAATTATTGAAAGATGTTAAAGATGGAGTAGACTAAGGCAGGCTCGATCGGGCTCGATATTGGAAAGTTGTCAATCAACTGGCAGGATCGGCAGATTGTGTCGGTGGTGATTTGGAGTATTAGGGTGTTGTATTCATGATCATTCATGCTATAATACGATACTTTTGACACGTTCCAAAAATGCCACATCATGAAAATGCAGCATCAAAAACAAGATTTGTACCATGGTTTAATATGTAAGAAAACCGCTATAGGGGTAGGATTTCAGGTGTAGCTGTGTGTGCATGCTTCGACACCGTAGAGGTTGTTTATTTTTTAGGTTACGTTAATTATCTAGAAACCCTTGTGGGTAATGTATGTGAATTAATTTTATTTTTATATCCTTAAACTCAAAGGTGTGCATCTGTGATAGGATAACTTAGTACTAGTAAGCATTCGTAATATTAGGAGCATACGTGAGAACGTTTTCAACAAAGTTTTTTTTTCTTTTGCAGGGCTGAATGGGACCAAGCTTATAAACAGATTTATTCAGATGACACTGTGGCACAAGTGAAAGGTTTTGAACGTTTGCTTGTTTGGAAAGCAAGGTGTGTTTTTTTTTTACCGTGACTCATTTTCATGACTGTGATGAAGAATGCAGAAATAACCTAAAAACGTTTGCCATGATACCTTATTATGAAACATATTTATATAAAAATGAGAATATGATAATTTTTAAGTTATTTAAACAGAAGTCTAATTACATGCATATTTTTGCAGCACAGAATACTGACTTACCAAATGTCTTCCATAAAAAGTTGCTAGTTACTCAGGTGGCAAAATACTTTCTCTGTTATAGAATATGAAAGGTCACTGCCATGTTCACAAAAGCCTGCCACTGAACCATTCTATAAGTCAGTCACATTCAATCCATACCCTCACACCATATTTCACTAAGATTCACATTAATGTTATTCCCAGTTGTTTTAAGTTTATTGTACATAACCATCACCTGGTTCAACCCATCAGTACCAGTCTCTCTGAAACTTTTCAGGTGTCCACAGGGGATCCCAGCTGGGGCACAGTGCACATTAGATCTGATCCAGATATGCCTGAAGGATAGGGAGGTGTGGCCACAGATTGCTGGCGGCTTACTGCCTCCCTACCATGAACGTGATCTGCGATTTATGTATGCCATGGCTGTTTTGCGGTTCCTAAACCATCTAGCAACCCTGGCTAAAAATAAACCTCACAGTTTGTACGATATGGCAGCCAAGTTACACATTCCTGACTGGGTTGTCAATATACGCCATGACACTTCACATGGCCACAGTCTGCCATCACTTTGCATCCTGCGAGAAGCTGCTCATTTCTGTCTGGATTGGATACATGTAACTATTACAGTTGATATGCGCAAATTAGGGTGCTGGGATCCAGTAGTATGCTGACAGTGCAGTGGGAGAATGGCTATTTTGTTCAGGAATCTTTATGAGTATTCTCAGTCATTCGAGGCAAATACTGGGATGGTACTTTCAAATAATACTACTTCCAGTTTCCTTTCTAAATTACCATAAATAATTGCACAATTTTATGTAAAATGTGTGGTTTACAGATATCATTAAGTAATCTAAGCAATTAGCAGGTAACTAAGCAACTTCAAAAGTTACCAGCATGTTCTCTGCCATATTAGTGCTGCCAGACTTAGAAATTTATTTGTAAAAATGAGACCCAAAAAGAGTAATCTTAGAATTTACTCCAACAACAGATCTACATGTTAGCGTTCTATTTTTCTTTAAGGTTTAGCTGTTGGTTGGTTAGTTAGTTAGTTAGTTAGTTAGTTATTGGAGAGGGTGGGTTTCCCCATGCACTGAGACCTGTATTGGTCCATTGTGCTTCCCTCTATGATTTCTACCAGTCTCTATATCCTACCGGTACTGGTGCTTACCATCAGTCCCGCCCAGCCAGCGAGACCGGCTCTACTAGCTGAGAGGTATCTATAATGCTTCCCCCATCTACCAGAGGTATTAGAGACTGCTGTTGGGCGGGAAACGTCCGTTAATTTGGCTCAGTGACCTCCTTTGGAGATATGAGGTTCTTTTACGTGCCGTAAAGCTACGACACGGGACCCACGGCTTAAAGTCCCTCCCAGAGGACTTGTTCCCTGAATTTTTCTGCTCTTAGAAATTTGACGACCTCCGCCGGGTATTTGAACCCGCGTACTACGAGTCATGAGGTGGGAACGTTACCTCTAGACTACGGAGGCCGCTTAGCTGTTGGTTACATTTTGGGTTTTGTTTTTACAACTAAATTTCTATGATTGGCAGCACTGACACTGTGGACAACATAGCGGTAAAGTTTTGAAGTTATTTATGTCACGTGTTACTACACAAGTACTGAAATTAGAAAAAAAGTGGAGTGAAACTGTGTCTTTTGGTTCTGTGACATCAAGTAGGCCAGTTATAACAGCCCCTGATGGTAGATGAGTACAGAGCTTTCACTGGTGAAATTGTAATTGGCAGGGGAAACTGAAATACTCGGACAAAGAACTTCCCCCAGTGCCAAAAATTCCCCATTGTTTGAACACACATTTATGTTATTTTGTAACTAAATTATTGTTTAAAACTGAAACAAAATTTCATTTCAGTTACCCAGTGATGAGAATTTATTTCCTTGAATCTGTTGTATCAGTGGTAGAACCATCTCCACAGACTCTCAAAATCTGTATTTAAAATCTGGTGGGCTACAGTGACAGGTCTCTCATTAGGCCTAACACTGGAAAGGATTAAGATGATAATCTTTCATTATTGGATTTAACATCATTCTGTCCAATTGGATTTCTTGTGTCTCTCTCCCCTTCATATTTGATTTTGCTTCCTAGGAACATTATTGGAAGAATGAGGCAGAAATGACAACAGACTGGATTGCAGGTGATGACACAGCTGACTACAATGAAATGGTTCATCGTCTGAAAGAAATTGTGGAAACATGGCAGGCCATCATGCTGTATTCCTCGGCAGGTCTTACAACGTTTGCTGAAATTCCAGACTTAAATTTACAGTCAGTTGATATAACTGTATACAGATTTGTATGAGAATGTTACTGAATGGAACTGTGTGAGCTTTACAAGATAATAAAAATATTTCTTGTTATAATCTTGTAGGAAACATCTCATTGCTGAAAAAGAGAAATACACCGCAAGAAGAATGGATGAAATGCTGAAGAAACTGAGATGTCGTGGATATACTTTACCAAAAACTGAGGTAAATTTTGAAATAAATTGAAGTTTACACACTTTTTGTTAATTTGGAACATATGTACTATGATCCTGAAGGTTCATCACATTGATTTAACATTATTGCATGAATATCTTCTGTGGACATTATCTGGATCAAACAAGAAGAACACTGATAGGGTGGCATAGCAGTAATGCTTTAGACCAGGCATGTCCAACGCATCGATCGCGGGACGATTTTTGGTCGATCTCATAGGCCTATAAGGAAATTATACATGAAAAGCATGTAAATTCTCTTGTAATATAATATGATTACATTCAGATTTTGAAGGGAAAATACGTATTAAAGTAGTCTGTACTTTCAATGTATGTTGCTTTTACAACAAACATCATGTGTCGTGTTATTTTTACCACTACTTTTGCTTAAAGCGACGTACGACGATAGGAGGGGGTGGTAGATCACTGGCAGTTTTGACACTAGAAAGTCGATCACAACCTGCCTGAAGTTGGACATGCCCACTTTAGACTCACTGGGAAAGTGTTGGATTCATCTCAGTCAGGACAGCAGCTACTCTGTGGCTTTCCTTGGCCCCTGCAAGCAAATGCCAGGATATTACCTCAATTAGGCTACAGTTTCTTCTGTATTGTTTTCCAGTTCATTTGTCGTCATGGCATTCATTGCTGTATGGACTTGATGGTGACAGCAGCATAAAATACTTTCCCCAAACAAAGAACTAGGTTTCCTAAAGATGGCCATTTCTGTCTTCAGCATAAAGGAATGGTTATTGCTGTGTTGGACCCATTACATAAAGCTAATGCTTATCCCTGATTCTGAAAGTTATATCATTTTTACTCAAGCAATAGACAATAATGTAAAGGTGTGTCTGTGAACCATGCCATGAAGTTGCATAGGTGGTGGTGGTGAAGCTCCATGCATGAACTCAGCCACTACATGTAGGTGAGAGATTAGCTTTGTGCTGCAGCTGATTTATCTTTAAGGGAAGAGCCCCACCATTACCTACTGGAGAGCATGCTGGCTGGGCCAAAGAACACTGGGCATGCTGACAAGGGAAGAGCTGCTGCTTCAGGTATAAATGAGGTTATTCGGCCTGTAGCCAGCCCTAAGACACTGTCCAGAGAAATGTTCAGATGATGGCGTGTTTGTAAATGCTTTCTAAAAGTTTATAATTATATTTCAAGATGGCTGAAGCACAGATTCTCATAATCAAACAGCTGAAGGACTGCATGGAAATAAGTGGCAGGTTTGGGGACAGACATGAGATCCTGGTTAATGTCTTGCTGGAAGGGGATGGTTTCCTTGCTTCACCAGACTTCCTGTCCATATTCAGCAGTAATCACAGTAAGTCATTGCGCAATATGAAATGTTGTTTAAGTAGTTTTTGTGTGAACTTTAGAGCTTTTCTTGTTTGTGGGATTTTGTGGCTTTAGATCCAAATCTTCTCTGAATCAAAACAAAATATATCTTGGACAAAATCTGTTTAGTTTGATTTCATCTCGTGCTTATCACTGGTATGTTTTCTACTACAGAGAAGGTAAAGTTATTAAGCACCACACCTTGAAGATGCACGGTAAAGTGCAGGTATAGCTTCACCAATCTTAACCTCGGCTTTAGACGGAGTTGAGGGTTCAGCTTCACACTCCAGCCATTTTATCCCCTAGATAAAAGCCTCCAGTACTCATTGGATATAAGGCTGGGTGGGCTCCAGAGCTTGTCTGGACATTGCAGAGAAGAGAAAAATCTCCTGTTGAGCCAGGAACATAGCCCACCCCCCAGGGTTTGGCTGTCCAACCTGTATCCTGGTTACTATACAGACTGAGGTAGCCAAGCTCCTGAGGAATAGAGGTAGAAGGTGAAGAGTAAAAAGACAGTATTTAAAATAAGATAAAAATGAAGTGATCTAATAATAAAAGATAAAAGGCAGTATGTATCTACAAAATGTGCTTATATATCTAGTAGACTACACAGTGTCATGTCAACTTCTGACAGTTTCTTCAATCCTTTTAGTAGCGCTAGACATAAACACACATTATTTAGGACATGCAGACATAACACAATTTCTCAGGACCCACAGATAAAGTAACTAGGAAGTTTTAAGTTTTCTCACCTCATTCAAGACAACCTTCAAGTTCATTTAAATGAAGACAATCTGTGTAAGATTTGAGGTTTTCACGGCTGTGACTATGAAGAAAGCAGTCTTCTGGGATGTGGCACCGTGGTTCGGAGGAACGTATCGCCTCCATCTTCAGGGTAGAAGGAAAACTAAGAGAATTTACAAGCGAAGAGACCATGTGAACCAGTACAGGCAGTCTGCCTGAAGATACAGGCTGTACGTTCCTCCGAAATGTCGGTTAACACCACATCTACATGGTGCCACATCCCAGAAGACTGCTTTCTTCAAAGACACTCTGTAGTTTCTAAATTGAAAACTCCTACATCCTGGCTGCAAAAATGTGGTTTATATAGCATAGGAAAGTGAATTTAATGAAAAAAATCTTCCTTGCAGATTCTTCAGGACTGACATATGAAAGCCTTCCAGCTACTTTCCGGAATCTCTGGAAAACCATGTTGAACTTTCTGTATCAGAACAGAGTCATTCCTTTACTGGTGGAAAAGCTCATTCATAAGTCAAGCTCTGAGAATGAGAGCCATCATCGTTGCAAAATGGCTGCTCTGTGGGTTAAAGAATTGTTGCAGAGTCTCTATAAAGTAAAGAAAACTGTAGAAATGGTTCAGAACTGCAAAGAAGCAGAGAAAGTTAAAGTGTACAAAACCTTGAAACAAAAATCAAAGAGAAAGCTGAAGATAAAGCTTACTGTTTCACACATACATAAACAAATGGTAAAGGAAGTTGAGAGACTAAACCCGAATCTAAGGGATGTGTTATCATTGAGAATCCAGAAGCTGCCAAGAGGTCTGTCTGAACTGCAGTTCTTAGAAAATGCCATGCTGAAACCCAGCCCATGCACAAGGATGTTCCTTCCCTGGTATGTTTCATTCTTAAGCAAGCAGTTAGCACAGACTGCATATTACTGTCTTGTGGGATCTGATGCCATGTAATCTTACAGACATTTACTGACATTCTGGAGGAACTTAAGTATCTCTATTTTCAGGGTAGAAGAGATTTGGTATCACTTTCCAGAAGACAGTAATCTTCAGTACAAGCACACATTTTGGGAAGAATATTTACCTTTCTGCCACTTCTTGTCTTTCTGAAGTGAGTTTCATGGAACTGTGCATTAAGAAATGTCTGTAAACATATTTTGTGCCGGGCAGATTCATTTGCGCTTTGCTGTGATATGCATTTGCTCATGTAATTTTCATTTTCTACATCAGATGGCTGTAGAATACAGGTAAATTATCAGAGAGCACAAAGGAATAGCTGGGATTTTGAGTCTGATTATAATTCAGTCAGAAGATTTTAAAGATGTCATTACCATTATATCTTTCATTCATAAGTCAGCTTCATAAAACCATTTGATGTATCAGATAGCTTTATCAAGCTGACTTATAAATCAGAAGAATTTGGAAGAGAGTATGACCCATTACCAAGTTCAGTTCAGAACACATATGCATCAGACATGAACTATTCTGTATCCTGTTGATAACATTCCAGTCTGATGGAACTTGTGGATCCTCCACTACCTGAAGATACTAAAGAAAAGCTAACAACTTTGGTCAACATTTATACCCAAGAACTGCATTTTTCAAAAGAAGAGAACACTGTAACAGACTCACAAGTCTACATGCTTCATAACTTGAAGGGGAAATCTGCAATGGTTCTGAATGACTGTGTTGAAGAAATGGACATAGCAGAGGATGTGATTAGCAGCCAAGCAGGAGTTCTCTCTCCTGTGACACAGTCCCACTGGACTCGTTACAAAGGTAATAGTTAAGAGTGAACACACTTCATCTCCATTACGGACATACTCACTGTTTGTTGTGAGAACCATATGAAACACCTGAATACACTGTGTCGGGAAGATGTAGAGTTTCTTAATGCATACATTTACCACTGTGATTTAAAAGATTAAAACAGTGTTCACTATTTCCAGGGCTTGAAGACTGGGGTAAATGCCCACTTGGAAGACTGCCGTGGCAAAACGAATGGTCTGCATTGCAACTTGAACTTCCCTGTGACAGTGTGTGGCAACCATGTAAACAACTAGACAACTACAGTACTGCAGAGAAGAATCTACCTGGTTTCTTCCATGAGAAGGTCAACTGGGATGAAGTACTGTCAAAGCGACCAATGCAGAACAAATGGACGCACCAAGGACATGAACATACACATGTAGTTGAAAGGGCTTTTGCTATAATATCAAATGTAGGGTAGCATGATTATTGAGATGCAGCACCTGATAACCAACGTTTTGCAGGAACACACTGCCTCCATCATCTGGGTAGAGGAAGCAGACTGATGCCTATCTGTGAGACTGCAACACATCATGCCCCAGACAACCATAATCGTATTATTCACTGCCATGACTTCTAACCTCATAGAAGCTAGTGTGGTCAGTTCCTACAGCCACAATGTGAAGATTCTGAAAATAAAGTTCAGGATAACAAACTGGTATTTCTTTCCTATTTCATTTACTGCTCTGTATTACAATTCAGTGTTATACTAAATCCCATGGATCATGGGAATGACAGCACTAGAGGCTTTCCCTTTTATATTCCCCACTAGTCCTCTTGGCCTATGTCAATACCAGGATTCATGTCAACAGAGTGGCTAGACTGGGAAGTGCACGGTGTTGGCCCATGGGACTTCCTTCCATGTCATCTGTGTAGTTGCATGCTTAGCTGGAAGTGCATGTACGGCTGAGCAGTAAGTTCACAACACATAATCCTAATACAATGTACTGAGGATATCTGGCAAGTGTGCGGGGGGCGGGTCTGCTGTGGGATCTCAGTGCATGGGTTACTGCTGTCAGATACCTTCTCTGTGCACTATGTGTAATTATTTTTGTGTGGAGTCTCCATGAAGACAGACACTGCAGTTTTCATATCATTATCACTGTCATATATGTGATCCCCCCAATGCAGCAACATCTGGGAGGCCACAACTGATGGCATGGAAACAACTGCAAAAACAAAACACTGACTTACTCTCTTCATTTGGCATATATGTCTCAGTGTGGATAGGAAGTATGTAGAAATAAGTATGAGGAGACTGAAGAGTTTTGTCTTAGCTTCTAACTCTTAATTTGGCATATATGTCTCAGTGTGGATAGGAAGTATGTAGAAATAAGTATGAGGAGACTGAAGAGTTTTGTCTTAGCTTCTAACTCTTAATTTGGCATATATGTCTCAGTGTGGATAGGAAGTATGTAGAAATAAGTATGAGGAGACTGAAGAGTTTTGTCTTAGCTTCTAACTCTTAATTTGGCATATATGTCTCAGTGTGGATGGGGAGTATGTAGAGATAAAGTATGAGGAGACTGAAGAGTTTCATCTTAGCTTCTATCAGCTGCCACTTGTCTGAATAGGATTCAGGAACTCTAGAGGCAAGGATGCAGGACAGAGAAGGTATACCATCCGTTGCCCTGTAATCAAATACTTCTCAAACATTTGCAAACCAATAAGATATATGAACATAATGAAAACAATTTATTACTGAACAGTGTCAATTTCTGTCCACAATATGTACATATAATTAGTATAAAAATATGGCTTCATACAATTTAACAGCTGAATAAAATACATAATGGAACACTTAACTGCAAATGATCAATCTAACAGGAATTCCACATTTATGTTGCTAACATCAAGCAATCTTCATTCCCATCTGTATTCACTGCTGAGATGGGCTGAATATGCCTTTAAATTCTCTTGTTACCAACATAATGACAATACAAGAAACCCACAAAACATTTCTAACCAAACTTCTGCACTTCTACATTCTTGAACTGCACTTTAAATACTTTATTTTTAAAATGTTTCAAAGGTGATATTTTTTAACTATGATGTAAAAATATCCAACCCAGAAAGCATACTTTATCACATATAACATTAATCTGATGAAGAACCAAATGTTTGACCTCCTGTGAACAGATCTTTTAGTATTTATGTTACGTGGTGACTATCAGATCTGGAATTTTCATTTACAAATCTGAAATTCCACACACACACTGAACCATTCACCTTAATGTCAAGTATCAACTGAACTGCAAATTAACCATTTTCTCTTGTTGGTTTAGTTTAGAGATGAACTGGCACAATACACTGGTATTGCTTTTAATGTATATGAGAAAAGGCCCTCAAAAAGATGCAAGTAAGTAATGACATGGAAGATTAGAACACTCCTACTTGTGTATACCTGTTTACCACAACCATAGAAAACAAAATTACTCACAAACTTTATCATAACAACTCACTATATGCAACCAATCTTGTGTTTGTTTTGGCAAGAACTTCATTGAGAGCCTTTGACGTGCCCATACCAAATGCATCTAGACACACTCGATCCATGACTGCTATCCTGCAACACAAAGTTCATTCTTCTGCACTTGGACCGTTTGCTTCCCTATCCAATGTCGATCATTTACTGGCCGCCATATCTGACCAAGGTCGGACAATAACACACATTATCAAACCAATATATTTTCTTTTCAGAATATACTTCAAACATGTTATTTCTTTCCTTCTGTAGCTAGATGGTGCATGTGATTCACTTCATGGGCACGTGCTCATTTCTTTACCATGAAATATCAGACCACTAGTGCACTGGGCTGGGAGTGGAAGTGTTAGTAAGAGACATACCAGCGAGAGCACTGGGAAGAATAGAGAAGGTTTTGTTGTAAGAGGGAGGGGACAGAAGCACTTAAGGGAGGAACAACAGGAAAACAAATGGCACAGACACAAGAGGAGTGCTTACAGGAGTGTGGAGGAATGACGAAGGTTCTGTTACCAATTGGATAAGTGGATACAGAATTCTGAAAAATGTGGTAAAATACTATTACTGCTTTGAAGATTACTGTACCAGCATTTCACAGCAGTAACTAATGAACTTACCTCCCTCCTGAGAGACTGTGGAGGAATTTCCAATATGATGGACGCAGATTCTGAGGTTCAAGGACTGCTGCGTGGAACAAAACTGAAGTAGAGAAGCAAAACAAAAGGATCGTTCCTCCTGGAATTCGAGGCACATAGCCCTTCTGGATACTGTCACTGTAGAGAATCTACCAATAATAGAACTGTTAAACATTTGTAACAAGAAGTGTCATCAGGAACTTGTGATGCAGACTTGTCTTTGAATATTTTCACCCGTATGGAGAGAACACTGGAAATCATAAATTAACCTTTTAAATCACATTGATAACTATATGTACCATTTGTTTTGACATAGGAAACTCTGCATTTTGCTACTATATTTCATGACTCTCCTAATAAACAGCAATTACGTATCTCCTGAACAACAGTGAGTCTTCATGCAGACATAATTTAAATTAATTTAAGGCTTTAATGACTTCATAATTATACACTTTGTATGTGTCATTTCCAATGAAAAAAAATACAGACTGAGGGTGTCTGAGAATAAGGGAACTTCATAACTTGTGCTCTTCAAATCAAGATGTCACATGAGTAGGATATAAGAGATGAAACATGCATATGAAATTTTTTTCAGGAAACCAGAAGGAAAGAGGCCTACTGGAGGGGAAGGTTCGGACACAAGGACACAGTAACATATACATGTCTTTCCTTATACAATAAGGAACTTCAGTGAACAAGTGGGGGAGGGGGGTTGAAATGTGTTACTCTCTGTAACCAAAACAGTTGCAATGCTCACCTGCAGACTCTTCCACATAACATATAATGCGATCGTATTGTCAGGGAAGAAACCAAAAGCTAAGCCGGCCAGCAAACCGGCTGGAACTGCATGAAACTTGGAATCCCTGTTGAAGATTCGGCGAAGCAAACAAGACATCATCTGAAACACAATTAGTGTGTTCTAGACCATGCTGAATGAAAATATCCTAGCTAATCTAAATATAACTTTCAGGGTTTGAGGGGAGTTCACACGCCTTCTGCATTCCCTCAATGCAAGGGCACTATGTCATATTTCATTACGATCTTCTGGGATATGACACTGTGTAGTTTGATAGGAACATACTGCCCTGAAGACGGAGGCAGCAAGTAGCTCCCTACCAGATTACTTGCTGCTTATTCTCTCTCTCTCTCTTGGTTTGCTTCAAGAAGCTTTCTGACTGCTATGATTACGCTGTGTTGAACACTATGTAAGACTAGTGAATAATGAATTGGAAATGATCTGGAAGGAAGCAGTCACGGACTTGTTCAAGGTACTATCCCGCCATTTTACTAGAGGAACTCAGCAAGACCACAATTACTTCAGTCAGTATGGCCGGTCTCTGGTCCAAGGTATGAAGTTGATTGTGCTAACCACTTGGTCACACAGAATCACATTTCAGACCACTGTGAGATTTCTGTTAATCAATTGTGCCTCTAACATGTACTGACCACACACAGAATGGTGTCCAGATCAGAGTTATCAAAAGAACAATGGGCACCTTAAAAACTGCTGAGAATCCTCCAAGGAAGGCTCCAAGTTGAAAAGCCTTTCTGTGTATTAATAACTTTGGAAGCAGACTTGGTTTTCGGACTGCTCTTCTCGCCTGCATCAGGATGTGGAGACACACTTGGAGACCATATCCTAAAGCAAACAATCTCACCGCGCCCTGCAATGCAGAAGCAAATTCAGAGTTAATGTTGTGTTCAAGCTGCAGAGAGGACCCTATTTTCTCAATCCTGTTCTTCATGTTATTTATTTATGGCTTGCTTAATAACACTGTGAAGTGCTGAATGGTAGGGTGATTAGTGAACAGTGAACTGGAAGGGATGTGGACAACTGTGAATAATGAACGAAAGTATAAGGGGTGGGCCCTCTTGGCCCTTGCACCATGACCACAGTGATCTGTTGTGCTTCGGCAACTGTGAATAAACTCAGGACTATCACTGTCACAGCCAAGACTCAAACCCTCACAAACATTATAACCTGAACCACCTTGGTCATCTTCACAGTGTATTCTTCTAAAATATATTTCAAAATTATCCTTCCACCCAGGCCTAGGTCTCCCAAATGGCCTCTTCCCTGGATGTCTTCAGGCTACAATTATGTGTATATTTCTCATCTCTGCCATGCACCCATCTCATTCTCTTTCCCCCTCACACAATTGGGTAAAGAATATGAATTATGAAGCTCCCCTCACTTCTTCCCTCTTATTTCCAAATATTCCCTTCAGTGCCCTGCTCACAGATACCTTGGAGACCAATTTTCATATCATACAAAGCAATGACTTAAATTCTGGCAGCAGATTTTCCTTGATATGAGATGTAACAAATATACTACCATGACTCGGTTTCCAGAATTTGATAGTGCCATTTCCTCCTCTGCCACAACTTGGCTACCTGAGAAGCATTTGTGGATAAGGCAGGCAGTCTGAAGTTACACGTTACATTGCACCCCAGACACATGCAAGGGTGGCTGTACCTTCATCACATCACTAGGTACCTGGAGAGTGTAGTAGGTACAGCTGAACGGATGAGGGCACACTGTATGCCTGCCTAGACCTTGTATCTTCCTTATAATTCTGTAGAAACCAGTTGGTATAACATAAAGCAAACTCCTTGGCTTCCTTCTTGCTGTTGGTCTTCTGATTTTCTGAGCAGACCCAGAGCTTTGGAGCTCCTGAGGATCAACTACGGATGGCAAATCCTCACGATTCTCTGCATAGCCATTCTCCTCATATGGACCAACCACAAACCTATAGGGAACATGAAGCCAATTTTGTGACAGGTTTCATGCCAACTAAAATTCAGACTTGAGGCCAAATACAATTAACCTGACCTGAGGAGACTGAACATCGAGTCCCGTTTGGCTTGACGTCCTCTGTAGAAGTACAATAAGGCTGTCATGGCAGCTGCAAAAATTAAAACCTGACCATAAGGAACTGGATGAACAAGACCTCTCCATGCAGCCATACGGAATAGAGTCTCCGTAGCCTGCGCAAGGGTAAAGAGAGAAATCAGTCATATGACATTTCCAGTATCTGTACCAGTGTACTATTGTTTCATGATAGCTTACCACATTAGTGACGTACAGTGCCAGCAGGCTTCTTCGTGAAGGTCTCTCAAGCAAAATGGCTACATAAGATGCAAGGAAAGCTGGCAAGAAACTAACAGAAAGCATGTTAAAGTGCCCAAGCAATTTCCTGAAAAGAAAGGTAACACTAAAATAGGACACAGAAAAAGAAAACAACATAGTCTGATGTGCCTTTACAATATAATGACCACCCATTGAGTTAGCATGGTGTTTTAACGTAGCCACACTATTTGTTGAAGCAGAAGAGAACACATCAGCTGCTTGTCCTTCCTGATTAAATGACTACTAGGCAAAACCTTTAAAACATAAGGGAAAGCACAGAGGCTCATCTACAAATAAATGCAGAGAAAGTCATATATATTCATATTTTCTCACCAGAATGAAGGACAAAACAATAACATACAGATAGCTAATAAATCCTTTAAAATTATGGTAAAGTTCAAAAGATTGGGAATCAAGATAATATATGAAAATTATATTCATAAGGAAAAATTAGCACATTAGATATGAGGAATACTTGCTGCTATTCAGATCAAAAACTTGTTTTCCTGCCTGCTATCTAAAACTAAAAATTAAAATATAAAAACTGTAATTCTGTTGTGTATGGACATAAAGGCTTGTCTCTCTTACCCTAAAGGAAGAACAAGGGCTTAGATGAATATCTGGACTTACCAGACACCAAGCAAGTGGAGGTACCAAGAAGCTTCATAGTTTGTAAACTCTGCCAAATGCTATTAGGGTTATTAAATTTAGGATGATGTGGGTGGGACATGTAGCACACATGACAGATGAAAAATACATACAAAATCTTATTAGCAAAACCTCAAGTGAAGGGACCACTTTAGAGATGGAGGCATAGGCAGTAAGATAACATTAATATGGAGCGTGTGTGTGTGTGTGGGGGGGGGGGTTACACTGAATTGAACTTGCTCAGGGCAGTGTGAACATGATAATGATCCTGCAAGTGCCATAAAAAGTGGTGAATTTATTGATCAGCTGAGCAACCATCAACTGCTCAAGGATATGTCCATGGACTTGGTTACCTTAAACTACTTACTGCACAAACCTCTGTGTTTCCCAAACAGATCTTTATCTGGTGTCTAGTTTCACTGCAAAATCTCACAGGTTTGATTTCATTTAGGTACTTACATATAAATGAGTGACCCAAATATCTTTAAAACTTCAACTATCATGTTGTTTGCTACATTAGAAGTTTATTTGTAAAGACAAAGGGTAGCTTTAGAAAATTTTTGGATATTTATTTTTAAAAACAAAATTAAAGCCCTGACCTTTTGGGTTTTTTGCTGTATGCAAATTCTATGGTTCAGCTTTGGGCCTTGTTTTTACAAATAAACTTCTAAGGCTGGAAGTGCTACTACAGTGAACAACAGGCAGGTGAACTTTTAAAGTTATCTGGATCATCTACTAATATGTAAGTCCCTTTAGGTATATTACACCTGTGTTTGGTCCAGTAAGCATGAATAAAACACACATTCTGAAAGAAATCTGGTGCAAGCACATAACATCATACTGGTGCATGGTCACTGTATTGTAAAGTCATTTGTTTTTTTTTGTTTTACATATTGGAACATTATTACAGAGCTTACGATGTGCTTACCTGAGCCAACATGCAAATAATGGAAATGCAAAGGCATTGGTTCCTAGAAACAATGATGATATAAGTATTCCTGCAAAAGCCTGTTTGATTTCTTTCTGGGATGGAACTCTGCCTCGCATTATTAAAGCCAACTGTAAAAGTAAGATATGTAACATTAAACATACGTCTGGAAGTGACAGCTTTCACAGTACAGGACTCAAGTGATACTATGAACTTGTTTGAAAACTTGAATCAAGAAGAACACTTTGAGGCTAGTATAATCGAACTTATCCAGTTTAATACAATTATTATCTGTGTATACAGAACTCCAAACAGAGAAGAAGAAGAAGAAGAAGAAGAAGAAGAAGAGGTAGAAGAGTAAATCTACAACTACAGGCAATGTTCAACTCATATGCCTAGCAAACAATAGTTGATGTCCTAACGAGAACAGGACCTAGAAGTCAAACAGCAATAGATCAAATAATATTAACAAGGGCTTAAGGGGATATGATCTTAAGGTGATGGAAACAGGATTTTCTGACCATAAAGCACAGATACTACAAATACATATGCAGTATAAGAATAAAAAGGGGAAAATTAGACTAAAGGAAGAATTCAGAATAGCTAGATCTTACAGGGAAGAGAATGTACAATACCTAAATTATCTACTAGAAAAAGAGACTTGGGAGCTTGTTTTTAATCAAAATTCAGCGAAAGAGGCATACAATGAATTTTTAGGTACTTTACAGTATTATTACGATATAGCTATGCCTAAAACATGGGTAAAAACTAAACAGCAGGAAAATAAATGGGTTACCTCAGGAATAAGGGTATCAGGGAACAGACTCAGGTTTCTTGATAGTCTAATGAAAGAAGGAAACATGGCCAGAAGAATTTAAAGAACACTATTGTCATTACAAAAAAATATACAACAAAGTTATCAGTGAAGCAAAAAAATTAACTAATAACATGTGAATAAGAGCATCAGGGAATAAATCAAAAGCCATGTGGGACCTAGTTAAGGAGGAACTAGGTAAACAGAAAAAAGCAACGAAGACTATTGAAATAAGCAAGAATCGAGTAAATATACAGGATCCAAAAGCTATAGCCAATGTCTTTAATGAATACTATACCAGTATTGCCCAAAAGGTATTGGGTGGCAATTCATTATCCAAAACCAATGAAGTTAATGTCAATACAGTAAAATATAATAGTAATAGCATGTTCTTAACCCCAACTACTGAAGAGGGAGTGGCAGGCATAATTAAAGGATTAAGTAATAAAAAATCAACGGGAATAGATGATATTCCAGAGTATATTATTAACAAATGTTATCCTAAAATAACAACTACTCTGACATATACAGAGTGTTTCACGACTTTAGGGCATAACTGCAGAAGGTGATTTCCTAGGTCTTTGTGATCAAAAAAGTTCATACAAACATGCGTCCGATTTTGGACGGTTATGGAGTTATGACTGGTTTTTCATTCCCGTACACGTCCTCGTGTGAACCGCGGCTGTCAGCTGGAGGGTCGCTGTTTTTAGCCAGCTACGGACAGAGCGTTCTCGTTATCTCGACACTTGAGAGCTACCTAAGGCCGGGGGGGGGGATATGTCTGGCGCAGTTCACAACCGAGCGGCAGCCTGTGTTGTGGCCGGTAGTGGCATTTTCGAAAATCAGCTTTAAGCACAAATAAATTCATATTAAAGATAATTTCACATAGTTAACTTTACACTCATACTTTAAATGCATCATGTGTTATGGTGGTTCCGTTTATTGTCAGTAATCGTTACCTTCTATTCTGAGTTTAAAACGGTCATAACTCCGTAACCGTCCAAAATTGGACACATGTTTATATGAACTTTTTTGATCACAAAGACCTAGGAAATCACCTCCTGCAGTTATGCCATAAAGTCGTGAAACACCCTGTATAATAAATCTGTCTCACTCAACTGTACATTTTCCTGATCAACTAAAAATTTCTAAAGTGAAACCTTCATATAAGAAAGGATGTGATATAGAAGTTGGGAATTATAGACCAGTTTCACTAATTTTGTTTTTTCAAAAATAACTGAAAAATCATACATAAAAGACTTTCATCATTTTTGAAAAATCACAGCATAATTAACAATAAACAGCATGGTACTGTAAAGGGAAATCAACAAATACTGCAACTGCAGAGTTTATAGAAAGGGTCTACAGATCATTGGAGGAGAGGGAAATAAGTATAGGGATATTTCTGGATCTGTCAAAGGCATTTGACTTTTTTAATTTATTGCTAGTGGGGTGGGACTAAGATTGGCAGGGGACACTGAAGTACTTGGAGAAAACCTGCCCCAGTGCCACTTTGTCCACCACAAACCCCACTTGACCAGACCCAGGATCGAACCCGAGCCACCACGGTGGGAAGCCAGCGACTAACCGCTTGAGCTATGCTGTGGCCAAGGCATTTGACTGAGTTGATAATGATGACAGGAATGGGAATAAGAGGGGTTGCACTAAAGCGGTTTCAATCATATCTAGAAAACAGGGAACAAAAAGTGGAAATTACATACAGATGCAAAGAAACTAATGAAATCACTATCTATCGCGAAAGAGACCTATAAGACATGGAGTCCCACAAGGTTCTGTTCTCTGATCAGTGTTGTTTTTGCTATATATCAATGATCTAGAGGCCGGCATTGAACATGGAAGACCAACATTTTTTTGCTGACGATACTAGTATTCTTATAACAGGAAATAGTGCTAATGATGTCCAATGGAAAATAAATAAAACAATAAATGCACTCAGAGTGGTTTGAAAGGAATAGGTTAATTATTAATAAAGAAAAACAATAGCGATATCCTTTCATCAACCTAAAAAAAAATGCAAGTCGAATGCCCATCAATAAATCTCTATGATACAGTCATCAATTATACAGAACAAAAAAGATCTTTTGGGAGTTTGGCTGGATAAGAATCTAAGGTGGTCTGCACATACTCAACAACTAGCAAATAAATTATGTAATATATGTTTTGCCTTACGAGTAGTCAAGAGAGTATCAGGGTTAGAGACTGTTCGCACCTTACATTATGCTTATTTTCAATCCTTGTTATTATATGGATTGATATTTAGGGGCAATTCAGGAAATGCAAAATTGATCTTTAGGGTGCAGAAGAGAGCTATTATTATGATTATGACGATTATTATTATTATTATTTATTGTATTGTAAAGTATTTGACTTGTCCTATATCATGTATAATGATCCATGGATATGAAGTAAATAAATAAATAAATATGAAAACATTAAATTCAAATTTGAACACCATTGCAATCCAACTTAATGGGCTGGCAAAGTGTTACTGATACAGTGTATTTACTTAACCACTCAAATTTATGTGTAAAATTAGGCAAATAAAATCCTAACCAGCCATAAAGTAAATAATTTATTTATAATGTATTTGGTATTTCATACAATTCTCAAAATAAACAGTGACCATTTATCTAAATTATATTAAATGTAAAAGAACGCCATTCGAATAATTATTGGTGTCAGTTACTGTAGTCTTGTAGACAAATATACGAGGGTCGTACTGAAAGTAATGAGCAACAATTTTTTGTAAAGTAACATGCTATATTATTGACAAACCAAATACACCACCTCAGTCTACAGACCTTTCTTTATTTTTCCACATAATCGCCACTTCTTTGTACACATTTCTCCTAGCGTTCTGGGAGTTTGAAAATTCCCCTTCTGTAAAATTCCATTCCAGCTTTCTGAATTGTCTCCCTTGTCTCAAAACGTTGTCCATACATCTGATCCTTCACAAATCTGAAAAGATAGTAGTCGGAGGGTGCCAGATCAGGGCTACAGGAGGGGTGTGGAAGAACTTCCCGCCCCATCTTTGCAATTGCTTCCAATGTGACCTTGGTGGTCTTGTCAATAACCGCGGGACCCAACGAGCACAAACTCTCCTATAGCCTAAGCTTTCAATCATCTCCTGTACTGCACTGTGCCCTATTTCAAGTTTTTGGGCTATTGTGACCACAGTCACACGCCTGTCATCTTCAATGATCTCATCCACCCTTTCCTTGTTGCGTTCAGTTGAGGCTGTTCGAGGACAACCGCTCTGAGGCTAATCTTCGATGGTGTTCCCATCTTTAAAATGTTTCACCCATCTTTGAACACTGCTCACACCCATGCATGCACTTTCATAAGCACACTGAATTCAGAAATCAGTGCGTCAGTGTCTTCAGATGGCTGGAATGAAATTTTACAGAAGGGGAATTTTCAAACTCCCAGAACGCTCGGAGAAATGTGTACAAAGAAGTGTCGATTATGTGGAAAAATAAAGAAAGGTCTATAGATTGAGATGGTGTATTTGGTTTGTCAATAATAAAGGATGTTACATTACAAAAAATTGTTGCTCATGACTTTCAGTACGACCTACGTATTAATACTCTCTTCTTTATACATACTAGAAGTGATGTTTTATTAAAAAATATAAGAATTGTTTGGAAAAAATATGGATATCCATAATCAGAATGTATAAAAAAATTACATTTAAAACATTGTAATACAGTCGTCTTTAAAAAAGGCGTGACAAATATGGGTTTCAGTTTTTACAATAAGGTTTCAGATCAGATAAAATTAAGTGACGTTTTAATCCTTTCTATCGAATTACTCTTTTTACTCTGTTGAGGAATTTATGTCACTTTAAATTTTTTAATATGTGTGAGTGTATCATTGTCTCTTGAGATGATAAAGATCTCTTTTTCATTTAATTTTTACAATTTTGAATACAGTGCTTATTCTGGTANGATGATGATGAGTGCTTATTCTGGTAACAGAAAGTTTGTATGCAGGTTTGTCATATTGCATCTCATTTTTATAGTTGTATATGGTATGTTCTGACGTGTACACAATTTGTGTATGTAGTTAACTATTATGGTACTAATGATTTATATATGATAAAACTTTACTTGTTCTATATCTGGAGGCTTTATCGCCAAATATGGATTTCTGGAACAAATACAGATGATGTGATAGGACTTCCGCAAATAGGTAAACAGCTGTTACAACTTTGTATTTGCGCTGTAAACAAATACTGTATTTGTACTATGACATACTCTACATCCTTAGCTTGGGCCTATGAAGAATTTATCGATTATAAATAACTTCTAGTCTATTCTGATCCTAAACATTATTCCCAGGTCCTCTGAAGTAAAGTGATATTTCATATTTCAGTCAGTTCAACTGTCTTTTATTAATTTTAACTGAGCCAGTGGAAACAAGTGGTAACTGACTAGACTAAAGTAAACATGTATCTAATAAATGTTTGTAACAAACACGGAGCATGTGACAATAGCTCTACTCATCGCCTAACCTAAAAACATGACCTACTTCAATGTGTATTCTACCTCCAGCCATTTGTATTTATATTTAGTACGCGAACATCTGAACCAACAGGTCGGTGCTTACCATATAAACTGTGACATATATTCTGAAACTTTCTTGTAAGGCATGTACTCCAAGCACAGTCGTCGCGCTGGAACATGAATCCGTCCACGGATGCACATATTGTGTGCATGATGTCGGTATGGTTTGGAATTTACTGAAAATCACCATGTTTGACGATCACAGCTTGTACTCATTTTTAATACTGTTGAATCATTGTAAGCTCCGAAGTCCCGGTAACCTTGAGATATTACAAAACTGTCATGGACTCACGTCATCCAGTCACGTTCCACTTCTACCTATCTTATCGTCAACAACTATTCCTATAAAAAAAAATGCGGCAGCAAATATGAGCCACGACTGTCGCCAACATTGCAATAATGCACGGTCCCCCCCGGAAAATACATAATTTATCACTGAAGTTATATTACTTACACAACGGCCATTAAATGATATTATCGCGTGTAATAAGTCAGATCACGGTATGTTTTCAACCTAACCTAACGGTACTTCCAATCCAACAGGTACAGTGTAACAAGAAAAATCTTGGCCCACAAGTTATTAAGAATCATATTCTGATGACTTTGAATTCAATACTAGCTACGAGTAATTTTGTTCATGCCAAAAGCTGCTTGCTGCTAAATTAAAACAGGCATCTAAAATCTGCAAAGAGAAACCATGGACCAAAAGCTTTTCCATTAGTCTGAAAATAGCAAGACTAAGTAAGAATAAGCACATAGGAAACATCTAACCATAAGCCATACATCCTCAAGCTGACATCTCCCATCTTCGGGACGAATTAACAAGGAGGAGCTTAACATTTTACTTCAAATGTTTCAAATTTTAACATTGGCATTTTAACTTGAGGGCAGTTTTGGATGAATGTGAAAATTGATGTGCATTCAACAATCCTAACAAGTGTTGTGCTTTTACACGTCGACGTATTGTAGCAGCGTTCACGCAGCAAACATAACTGTGTACATCTTAAACAACGGCAGTGTTTTCATGCTTGTATTATGTGCCTCTGATGGTTTTATTAAACCGAAACATGTAAGGCAGAAGTGATAAAGAAGTGACCTATAAATTGTTACACTCGACGGACTTTTTATTGACTTTATGATACAGCACATTTTCTCTCAAACATGAGACAGACCCATCCAAATACTCATTGTGAAATTGTGAAATTTCTAGCAGATCCATATTTCACGTAGGTGTCATACAGAAGTACACATTGCTCTAAAATATACCACACCATGACATAACACACTGTTCACTAATTGTAACAGAACAAACAGCTAATGTTGCTAATAACTACGGTCCACTGCTGTCAAATCATAAACAAATTCCCATGCATGAACTGCACTGCTCACTGTGAAACATAATACCCCTCAACTGGTCCACAAAGTTAATAACTTCCCTTCATTCCAAACATTATCGGCCATCAGGCATACCGACTAATCAGCAAAATCTGTATGAACCTTCCAGCTTGCAGTGCACCAGTTTACTTCCCTGTAGGATAGTCAGGACACTGTTTTTGCAAGTTTTGGTTCGAGTTTCAAATATTAAAATTAAACAGGTGGATCTATTTTTAATTTAAAATTACTCTGGGGCCTACTGGCAGCAAGGATTCACATTTGACCACTGGTCACATCTGGGGACAGACTTTTCTGTACACAGATCAGTTTAGATTTGGGATTGTGACAAAATATCAAATATATGTAATGCTGTAGTCACAGTTTACTTATCAACAGTTTCCTTTCAAAAACGTTATAGTTGTTAGGATCAGGATGGGTTAGGAAGTAGGACTTTCTCAGGCACAGTAACTGCCCCTCAATTTTACTGTTCCTTTGTGTTGCAATTTACAACCTGAACGATGTGACAGTAAGAGAATAAATGTGAAGTGTTATGGGCAAAGAGAGATTATTTCTGAGACCTAATAGAGACAGAAGGATGATTCTGAGCACCCTAGCATGAAGTACGCACATTGTATACAGTTTTGGAAATGTACACATATCATACTTTCAGTGCACCCATTTTATTATTACCCCTTAGATTTTCAAATCATGAATGCTAACTTTTGATGGTCTCTCATAAACAGTGTAAGACAGGCAGGATGGATGAGAGGTAGTACAATGAGTCCAACAGTTCACGAGTTATGAAATGACATACCATAAAAATTCCTTTTGGTGAACTGTCTTGAGCAGAGGAAGACATGTCAGAAAAAAATGCCTTGTTCTTCTCTATGACTTATCTTCAAAATATTTTCACTCAAATAAATACTTAGCATGGTATGCTAGAGACATGCATACAAATGCATCTTGGTCTACATGTATAGAGCCCATCATTATTGTAAAATTTTAACCAAAACTGGAATATGCCAGCAAACTGTAGTAAATTCCCCAACACCAAATGTCATGAAAATCCATTCAGCCATTGGCAAGTTGCTGCATGTGAATATGCCAAAGCTTCAATGTGTATTTTTGGACTTTCCATTGCACATGCACCAAAATACACTGAGGGTAATTGAGAAAAAAATATTCTTGCAAAAACTGAATGGAGAAGGAAGTCAGATATTATGGGAGAATTAAAATTCAAATTGCTACTTCATAATACAGTAAAAGAGATGAATAACCATTACCTAAACCTCAGTTAAGATCCAAAATATCCAATTCATGTTTTATATAAGGAAGAAAGTCCTTTGTTGGATAACACTGACTAGTCTTCTAGGCAGTAGCAGCTCACATGAACATGGCAGGAAAGACAAAGTGCTTCACAAGCAGGCATACAAGTGTTTCTGATAACAGTGTATTCATCTTTTTCTAGACTGGTGTGGTCCAAAATATATGCCTAGTGCTTCACAAATCTTAGTGTGAATATTACAAAATGTAACCAGAATCAAACAAATGATTTTGGAAGTTGAAAGAGATAAGAAGATAATATTTTATCTGCTGTTGACCACAACTATAATTTCACTCAAGCACCATACTTACTGCTGCCTGGGGTTGGTATAATAGGCCCATTTGATACTACAGTATGAAAGGACTAAACCTCATACCACTTCTTTAAAAAGAGCACAGTGTCCAGCACATATGATATAATTTAATTTCAGTCATAAACATTTGCCATTTCCCTTTGTTTATAAATACATTTTGGTGCAATCTGCCATAACCATCACACTGTATAAGTATACAAGGTGCATGGAGGTAAAGTATCATACATTCTAGACCTTCATTTACCAGATAACCTCTGCAACATCCACTATGCAATTTTTACAACTCTGTGTCTTATAAAACAATTACATACAGTGTTATTCCTCAGTGTTCCTCCTTTATACTAAATCATTTGCATATTTGATTTTTAATAGGAAGTCCAAGCATTTCAGTTCTCTTTCATAAAAGCACCACACCATTTAGACAAACTGGTGAAAACAAACTTTTATGATCTATACCACCCACATCTTTTGGGTTCTTTTACCTCTGTGACCAAGGAATGGTGAATGGTTCATCCATAATTGCAATCCAACATTCTCTATGGATGCCATATTACACGTGTGGATATTTGTAGTTTATTTTACATTAGCACTCAATGGTAGGATTAGTGTATGTGAACAGGGAACAATATGGTTATGGTCTAATTTGGAACTTGCTTGGAAGGACTGTGGGAAACTATGAAAAATCTGTAAGGATAGACGTTTCTGGACCAAGATCTGAACCCAGGCCATTCCAAATAGGAAGATCTGCTACCCACTTATTACAAAGTTGGAATGGTACTCTGTATTACGTAGTCAGACAAGTAAACTGGCAACGACTGTAGGTTCAGACTGGAACCTGGGAAAGCAGGATGAGCAAATTTGCTGTTCAGTTTTTAAAAAATCACTACAGGGAACCAGAACACTAATATGAAGTCAGACCAAATTCTTCTCATTTTTTCATGGCAGAGTGTATTCACCTCTGTCCCAACATCATATCTACTACTGTACACAAGCAGATGTACTTGTTCTTAGCCCAGGACGTGGCTGCTTTCCTTATCAATATCACAGTATACAAGAGCTAAAATCATAATGAAGGAATAAATGATGAATTAAAGCTTACTTAGGTATTTGAAAAGAAAGATGGAGGAATGATGGTTTAATCACATCCAAACGCTCTACCACACCAGTTCAACATGCTTGTAAGAGTACAGAATAAATTTCAAAATACTTTTGGGTGTTCTCTGTTAGGACCGCAATATGAAACAGGTAGGTTCCATTTCTATATTATACAGTATTGGAAGTGGATCACAAATATACTCGTATATTACATTTGTATGCATACACCAAACTGCCAAATTTCTTTATATCAGGACATGTAAAACATTTCAGGTTCTCACAGCAGTGAAGACTTAGATTTTGGTCATATTGGTCATATCACACTATGAAGTCTACTACGTGGTTGCCAATGTTTCCAATGAGCATTCAGCTTCAGTCTTCCATGTACAAGCTACATATTCATGGTGTCATAACCCAGAAGACCACAATCTATTAATCTAATAAAATGTTTACAATGAAACGTATCTGTTATATGCTATAACATTACAGTGCACAATATAGCAGTGTTGCCTGAATAAACATTTGTATTTATTCTTTTAGCTAAATTAAAATGTGCAGATGGTACAAGGCTCATTTATTAAAGAGAACTGATTTATAAGGTATATGCTGGTGTTCTCTGTATATCTGAAATACTGACACCACATCTTGACAGCAATAGTGGATGTAATAGGTGGCCAGAAGTAAACTGGAATGTAACATGTCTATAATCACTACAGGGTCTCAAACCAAGAATACTGTGATAATTTCAGGAGAGAAGACATGTTCATTTTATATCAGGTGGGGGGCACACAGTAGCGTAGTTTGTTGAGGCACTATGCTACAAGCCGGAAGGTCACGGGTTCAAGTCCCGATGAGGTAATTGGATTTTTTTCAATTGACCTAATCCTTCCAGCTGCACTATGGCCCTGGGGTCGGCTCAGCCTCTAACAGAAATGAGTACCAGGAATATTCTTGGGGACAAAGGGCAGCCGGCACATAGGGCTGACAACCTTGCCGGCATCTATGAGCTGACTGTCTAGAAAATGTGGGAATCTCAACATGTCACAACCCTATGGGCCTCCACGGCCTGTTACAGGGATACCTTTACTTTCTTTACTTTACTTTATACTTCAGGTACTGTGTAAAGAACTTATCTTTAATACGTGTATTAATACACACGTATTAAAGATAAGCAGCGATACACACACACAGAAAGCCTACACAGAACAGTACCTGAACAGCGATAAAACAAGAAGTGGCCGTTGCAGCACTACAGACCTAGGGCGTGTACCCCGAGGAAATTTTACAAATTTGGAAAAAGAAAAAGAACAGAAAATTTATAGACATTTTAATTTGAATTGAAGTTTTAAAAAAGTGCCAATTTTAGAAATCAAATTGACGCGTGTAGGTTAACAAAGATTTTATACATACATACAACAGGAAAGACTG